GATCCATTTACTAAAGAAATTTTTGCTTTTGTAGGGAACATTGTATGGAATAGCAGAATATGATCTCAACACACTAATTAAGATCCCAGAAAATCACATACATGATTTGCTCAATGGACTTAACCGAATTAGGCTAATTGCAAATGAGTAGAGAAACATAGAAACAAAAAAGATAAGAACAGGAGGAGGCCATTCAGCCCTTTGAGCCTGCTCCACCATTCATAACAATCATGGCTGATCACCCAACTCAATTGCCTAATCCTGCTTTCTCCCCCTAACCTTTGATCCCATTCGTCCCAAGTGCTATAATTAGCCACCTCTTGAATACATGTCCAACATGATCCCCAAAACATGAATTAAGAAAATATTACAAAAAAATCAGGATTAAATTCAATTTTAGTGAAATAAACACAGAACTTGTCTTGTGCAGTCACAGAGAAAGAATAGCTCAGGCATTTTCAAATCTGTGATGTTAGGATATTAATCATAAAAATAATGGACTAATCACATTGTATGCTATTAGTAACAAAAGCATTTAAATGAAACTGTTTTTATCATCAAAGATATTATTAACCTGTTCAAAATAAATGGATTGATGTCTTGGATCAACTATCAGATAAAGGAATTTCACGTTTAGCTTGCTAATATTTATCAGCGGGACTTCAACCCCATAGTTAACAGCATCTGCTCTGAAGATCACTTTGTAAAATTCTGCACTTAATGTCTTTGTGAACATGTGGAGTATGTGAGCAACAACAAACTGAATCACTCCTTATTTCATTCATTTCAAAGTCTTGCTTGAGCCAAGTGTTGAATTGGAAAGCTGTTTCTACAATAGTTAAAGTCTTCATTTCACCATCAGGTACATACCTGTTTCACCGGCTAACTGCCACACATCAAGCAGAGCACATGAGGAGATGTTTGCTTGCTCCATTCCTGATGTGGCTTATTACTCAGCCATATTGGTAATGGAAAGGAAACAAAGGATTTGCATTTCTGTAGCACTTTCCACAACATTTCAAAGTTCTTTACAGCCAATGAGATACTTTACAGGTCATTATTGTAATAAAGGAAACACAGCAAGCTCCCACAAATGGCAAGGTGATAATGACCAGATAACCTGTTTTTCCTAACGATTGAGGGAATAACTATTGACCAGACAACTTGAAGAACTCCCTTTTCTTCTTGATTCACTTATCAGGACATTAGCTTAATATCTCATCTGAGAGATGATATTTGTGATAATGTAACTTCTGATTCTAAAAAAATTTGAATCCTTGAGTGAGGGCTTAAACCCCCAATCTCCTGATTCAAAGGTGACAGTACTATGACTGGACCACAGCAAACAGCAATGAACAACCTCACTTATCAAGGGTGAAGAAGCAAATGTGGAGGGAGTAGAAGGGAAGGCAGATACTTAAGAGAAAAGTATAAAACAACATTATAAATTGAGAATGGAAACAATCCCACCAACTAGAAATGTTTCTCTTGCAGGAAGCCCTCTGTTAATGCAGTTTCCACAATATATAGGACAAAATCACAGGAGTAATCACTGAATTGAAAATTGAGACTGAAATGCTGATGTTATTTTGCAACACATTTATTTAACATTAATGTCATATATTCATGTGGAACCTAATTATTTAGAAAAAATATGTGCCTCTCCTTGGAAGATCTGGTGGTTGGACTTCTATAGATTATGCTCTTTGTGCATCTTT